GAAGATGAAGATGAAGATTAAAATTTTTTTTAGTATTAAAAATTTGAATTTTTCCCTAACTTATTGAAGATACAACACAATTCACACGCGTCGCACGCTCTATTGTGAAACAAATTTAGATATGAGCTCTGTCGTCCTACGGCAAAATTTTCGTAGAAACTAAAATTTTATTTTTATGCAAATATTTTTAATTTCATTGCGAGCCATGAGAATTCGTTGTTGATGGTGCGGCACCAAATGTATTGAAAACAAAGCCACGTGCCGCCTGTGGTAGCTGCAATGTATTTAAGCAACAGACCAACCACGTTTTATATGCTTTTGAGCAATTTTATATCTCAGACGAGGTGAAATGGTGGAGCGTCCTATCTGCTGAGAGTATTTGCGGCGAATTCGTGCTACTCATGAAATTTAAATGAGTAACTGCTGTATGCGAAGTTGGTTTAGTAGCAGTGTGAAGTTGAATATGAAAGGATGTTCCAAGCAGCAACGAAGGCCACTAAAGCGTGCTTTATAACCGGACGGAAGAACTAAAGAACCCTGCAAACGAACTAAAAAATTTATGAAGACAAATAAGAGAAAGCAAACATAACAAGCATTTGAAGCCAATTATGGGATAAAAAGGCAAAGATAAATATTAAAAGTTTACAAACAAAAATTTGTTTTAAATAAAGCAACAAAAATGTGTTTATACTTTGGCGCAATGGATTACTTAATTGACATAGTGGCTTACTGCGTTTGTCGTGTTATTGAAATCTCGTTTGTAGCGTTTGTTATGGTGTTTGGCAGCAAAACGAAGTTCCTATCCAAAGCTTGCAGTGGTATCAACGGCATAATCATTTGTAGATGTGGATCCATGGCGAATACGTAACTGTTTTCAATTAAACACCATATTTAGGCAAGTGAAAAACTTTCTGACAGCGCTGCCCATGCCTGATATAAAAACAAACATGTGCTTAAAAAATAATAATTATATTCATTGCTGTTTGAGTTTACAGTAAAAGCACATAGAACTTGAAATGTAAAATTTTAGCGCATAATATTGAAACGAAAAGGACTTACTTATAGTTAATAGATATGATTTACTCTTTTACGAAATACTTGCAACTAGACGAATATTGATAAGTTCAGATAAAAGTGACTGAAAATGTTTTATAAAAATAAATAAAAATAATTTGAAATTCAGAAACTTGCCTTAATATTATTTAACATTTTTCAGGTTAGTATCAAAGAGAATCGAGTGCTTAATGAGTGAATGGCGCTCCTAAGTGCTGTAAAATGTTGTGAGTTTAAAAATGGTAATTCGGGGCCGCGAAATTCCAAATTTAATAAAAATTAATGCTTGAAAGTGGGAGTTTATAATTTAAACTTTTGTGGCGAGGAGCAGTAGTAAAATAACTTTTATTTTTGTTCCATTTTTTATATTTCTTGCTATGTATTATTGTATATGTTGTTTTTTTTATCAACAGTTACGCGATTGCTTTGTTGCACTCGGTCAAAGTCGTAAAACCTATTAATTCATTGTTATCATTTTTAGAAAATTTTCAGCGACATTCACTTCAATATGTGATCAAAATTTCAGCTGCTATCCGCACCCCGTAATTAAATTATAAGCGCACAACATTATGAAAAGTTTTAACATTTCTTTTTTTTATTTAATTTAAATTATTTTGTTATATAAATATATAATAACACCCACATTCATAAAAAATAAAGAACACTTTAAGTGCTTTATAAATCGAAAATCTGTATGAAAGTGCCACTTTATTGAGCTCTATAAATCTGTTTTATTTTTTTTTATGAATAAGGCCATTATTCTTTAACAAAAAGCGTACAAATCCAAGTTTCGAACTTTGTGAAATATTAACAAAATTAACAGACTTTCGCAAATTCCATTTCCTAAAAATATTTCGAGTATGCAGTTTAATTTTGGTAAAATAACGTGCAATTTTAAAGTAGCTGGGACTTACCTCTGATTTTTGCATAAAAGCTATAACAAACACAACACAACACAACACAACACAACACAACACAACACANCATGATTGCCTATTTATATATAAGATTTCTATTGAAAGCCTTAAAGGTATTAATTTCCTAATTTGTCTGCTGAAAAAAGGAGCTGCCTTCCTCCTCCTCCAAACGGTATGTATGTAGTTCACAACTGACGGTATCAAGAATACCTATAAAAAAGTCATTTTATCAGAAATCGTAACATGATATTGCCGAATTAAACTCAGAACTGTTTATTGTACACGTTTCTGATAGTCTAAACATCGTCAAATAAGGCCCCTTTTCAAGAGATTTTCTAATGTAATTAAGAACAAAATTATAAAGATTTTTTTCTGAAGTATATAATTTTCTCTAAAAAAACTTTGAAAATAATACCACTTATAGATCTTAAAATTACTTAATATTTACTTTGCAGAGAACAAAAAACCGATTCCAATATTTTTGTTTTTAAGTGCAAAAAACAATTTTTTCTCACAAAAACTGGCCAAATCTGAATTAAATAGTTTTTACAATCCCCTTGGTTTCACAACGGACCCAAAAGAATATGGGTATCTGTTTGCTGGTGTGCTAACCGGCAATCACTGCAACCTAACCTAACCAAGAGATAAAAACAACAATGGACATTATCAACAAAATAAAGGTAAACATGTTTATCGCCGCACATTTTTTATGTTAACCATCCACTTTGTTTTCAACCCAACGTTTATCAACGCTTCACAAAGAAGTATGGCAAATTTAACACTCAACTTTTTTGCTTCGCCGTAATTGCTTATTTTATATTTATTCATACATATACTTACTTTATAGCTATGCTTCGGGTTCCATCTAACGATACATTTAAAATTATTACAATTGTACACGGAAGCATTTTATATTGCACATTTTGCAGTAGTATAACAACAAAGACAAGCAGACAAAAGGAATTCATAACTGCACAGCTAGATTTAATGTATATACCTACATCACATAAATATGGTGTTGATAGATGTGTTGATAGATGTGTTTACAAACAAATGTGTATATTTGCAGCTAATAATGTAAATGACAGTAGCACTGCGCAAAACAGAGATAAATATGAGTACATATGTACATACATAAGTATATATACATATATATATATAGTAGAGAAAAGGTGAGCCCTACTCGTATTAGCAGTAAGCCCCTTGATGTACCGCCAAGCAGCAGTCGCCACATTGTAAACAAGCACAAATGCTTAAGCTTAATGTAAATAACAGAGCACAAGCAAAATGGGAACCTGGGAATAAAAACACATTTACGATGTTTTAATAAAATGAATAACGGTATGGTGAGCGCCTATTTGTATACATTTATTTATTTTTTTTTTATGGCTGTGTATTGTGTCTCTTCGCCAGCAGACAAATCCTTAAGATTTATTTCTATACTTTGTATTCGTATTTTGTTAATTTTTTGGAGCCATAGGCTTTGTTTTGATTTGACGTGAATAAATGCTGTTGTCCTCATAAAGAGGCCCGGGACAATAGCTGTTTTGTTTAATATAAAATAAAGGAAAAAATTAGCACAGATACTTTAATTTTCTTAGGCTTTTAAAAAGTTATGTGGACTAGAGCTCGGATTCTTATGTTAAAAATAAGCTTAAAAATATGTTCTATAATAACTATAACCAAAGTGTATATCAACTTAAATACAGTCAGCGTCAAATACATGAATATCCTCACATTTTGAAGATCTATTTTGTTTGTGTTTTCTATACAAAAATTTACTTATTTTTTTATAAAAATATAGGTAGGTTATTCAACAGCAAATGCCACAAGAATCGATTTTTTGAATTTCATACAGGACTCGGGGAAAATACAAAAAATACCAAAAAACGTTTATTAAACATTTAAATTTTTTAGTCAAATTACAGTTGATTTTTGAGTTCTTTTTTTTGTCGCGGGTGTTGCGTATTTTCTTCCATATAAAAATAAATTTTGTTCATGCGTTATATGGAAGAAAATGCGCAAAACTTTCTAAAAAAAAGTTCTCAAAAATTAACGGTAATTTTTAGCGACTTGAAACTTGCACTTTGTTATACTACAAATTAATTAACTACAAAATTGCATACTCAAAAATTCTCTAGAAAATTAGAGTTCAAAAATTTTAATTTTGATGAACATTTTTTAGCCTTTTCTTGCATTTTCCCGAGTTTTGTATGAAATTAACAAATTTTTTTCTTTTGGGGTTTGTTGTGGAATGAATATTATATTTATAAAAAAATAAAAAAAAGATTCGGATGGAAAACATAAGTAAATAAAATCAACAAAACGTCGGGGTATTCATATTTTTACGCTGATTGTATTTTGTTTATAGTTGTGATGGTACATATTTATAGGCTTATTTTTTTGCGTACAAATCCGACCTATATTCTATATTCTATAGTGGTGTAGGGGACGGCAAAACAATTTTCGTTAAGATGAAAAATTATATTAAAAAAAAAAAAATTTACAGTATTTTTTTTTTTTTTAATAAATATCAAGAGTTATTCCCTTAAAAAATAAAACTAATAAGGCGAGCTTAAGATATTGACCAAAAGTTGTCATCTTTCACATATCTTTCTTGTTTTTGGGAACATAATGAACCATATTTTTGCAATTACCAAACAAAATTCTTAAAAAAAAGTGGCCCACGCTACTGTCTAACCCATAATATTGCAGGGCAATGATTAGGGAAGATCTAGGTCAAACAAGGATTATTAGCAGATAAAACGAAAAACTGGCAACTTGTAGAGGATTGGCTCGAGGAATTGATGCCCGAGGCCGATAGCGGGGAATTCATTTTTTGTTGATCTGCAGTTGCACTTTTTCCCGCGTGCGAACCCAATTTCTGGTGCAGATATCGAGACGAAGACGAAATCAAAAGCATCGAACACCTTCTCTTCTCTTCGCAATTTTTCCACAGTTTTTCTGCTATCTTCAACGCTTTATAAATAAAATTAAATGGTTATTTTCTAGCAGCAGAGTATACGTCGAGCCAAAACAGTATTACAATGGAACTTTCGAGCCTAAGTGTGCCTCCATCCAGATCTGGGTGATGAAGGTCACTTCAACCTAACTTAATCTCCGAATTACACTTTTTGGTGAACTTATTCTGAAACTAAATGCGTTTGGGGGTCTAAATTTTCTACAAATCATAGGTCGCCACATTTTCTATCATTCGTATTATAGTCGTCCACCTCAAATCTTGTACATATGTATGTATACTCGTATATGGGTTCCATGCATATGTATGTACATGTGTACACATTTCATTCAAGAGCTTTTTTGTTAGTATGTAGTTTCATACAAGATACAACTTTTACCATGTTGCTCTTTTAAAGGTGCAACCAGGTCATGAAAATTTTACAACAAAAATTATAACCACATCGAAATGAACCAAAAAAAACGTTGAGTAATTTTATTTTAAAATTAACAGCTCAACAGCACTTGATATTGGCTGAAACGTGCTTCAAGTATAAAGAACATCGATGCATGAATATGCGAATATTAAATTTTATCTGCTCTTCATTAATTAACCCCAATAAATTTAAGAGCACTTAGGCCACTGCCACAGGAAATGTGTGTGTAGGTATATCATGTACCTTAATATATGTAACGGGTGATTTTTTTGAGGTTAGGATTTTCATGCATT